CCCCAAAACCCCAAAACCCCAAAACCCCTAGCGATTTATTCTCTCTAGAATTAAAATTAAAGAAATAAAAATTAATTTAGATCATAAATTTTATTACTCAGAATTTTCAGTAAGCAAGCATAGCTTGAGAAGCGAAATTTAAAGATTCCTTAGTTTATTGAATATTTTCATTCCCTGAGCAAATATTAACAATCATCAAGGTTTTGGTCTCTGAGGTAAGGCAATCTTAAAGAATACGGGTAAGTTTAGATTCTCTATATGGTGGATTCTGCTTTGATTTGCACTTCCTATCTGCAATCATCATGAAAACTCTTCCCAATGTTGTGAGACTCTTGTTGATAGAAACAGATTCTTATTCTAGTATTTATTGCTGTTACTCGGCTTTGAAGCTATCATTAAGATCTTGTTTTCCTTTATTTACTGGTTTCTTATTGATTGTTTTAGATTAATGAAAGTTTTTATCAGCCACTTTAGGCTTTGAAATCGTAGGCTTCCTATCTAAACTCTATTATGCTGTTCCATTTGTCGTTGGTGCAGCTGCTGATATATTGGATCTTCTTTCAGAACCTGCCAGATCTATGATATTAAGAAGACTCTCAACAGACTCGAAACTTTTATTTTATCCCAGGATTTTGATTTGAAAGATATGATGGCTCCTTGAAGAATGCTCATTCACACCGTTACTACTTGTGACTCGTTTAGCAGAGGATATTTGCACAAGTTTCAAAAAATCATTAATATTTTCTACTTTTTTCCATGATTGACCTTAAATTAAAATCTTGTTCTTAACACTCACAAGATTTAATTGCTAATCTACTTAATCGTTATACAAATCTCTGAGATTCTCACAATAGATCTCCATCGATGATATTTCAATATGATACTCCCTTTTAAATTGTGCCTTGATTCTATCTATTTCGGAGAATATGAAATTAGCAGCTCTTGGAATAATACCACTACAGTCATTTATTTAATAGCAATTGTCATCTTGCATGTATCCATAGTCTGGTCCTTCCATAGTATAAGTCTTACCAGACCCAGTTTAACCGTACGCAAATATACAAACATTTTCCCCATCCAAAGCAGTTTATATAAATGGCTTAACTTCATTAAAGATTTAAGTCTATGTGCTTTCATGAGGGAACACACAATCAAAGTGAAATAACTTTGACTACTAATCAGTTCCATTTACTTCCAATTAGGTTTGAAGTTCATCTCTTAACCTCTGTGGGAACTCAATAGATGACTTGACCTAATCCATAGATGAGAAATTTTAGGACAATCTGCTTGCTAACAAAGGCTTAACTCTACAATAGACCCTTATATTTCCCTTAAGAATCTAAATATGATTATGCAGTTACTTTCTCATCTATTCATCTAAATAAGTTTATGATTACTTATGCAATCTTACTTTTATGAAGATCATTCATAAGATGATTCATAGAGTAGGTTAGAGAGTCTATTTATTATTTCAGCTTATCTATCTATCAAAATTTTTTAAGACTTTGAATAATTATTACCTCAGTATCTCTTTCTTGAATGATTTGATTCAGCTCAGTAATCTTTTCCTCCTCTTAACTATTATCATGTTATTAATTACTACTCTTTAATTCAACCATTGATTACTCTAATTCACTCCTTTTACTTTGCAGATTAGTAAGTGTTTATCTCATATTATGAAGGTTTTATTAGTTTTAGGTTACCCAAACATTTGATATATCAGCATCATATTAATCCTCCTCTACTATAGTCTAATTATGCTGAGGAGATTCAAATTCCTCTTCCTAATAAAACTATTTATTTTATTACTCTTGTTCTAATGCATCTAGTCTGCTATTATGCTACAGTGCAGTCTTGAAATAGTCATCTGAGTCACTTCAATTTGCTGTAATTGGCTCTATCATCTATTAATGAGGTGGCTCAATAATACAACTCTTATTTTATTCGTCTACTGGAGGAGTTCCAAATGTATTCGATAAGATATTTGAAAGTTTTCTTGTATTTTCATTATTTTGATTCGGTTAAAGGTATTGCTGTTCTGTCGGGGCTATCTCATTATTATTTTAGTCATTAAGTAAGTTATTTTTTCCTTTTTAAGAGGAGTTTTGTTAGGACTAAGAAACTTTTTAATTCTTGATAAAAAGCTGCTGGAACTAATTTACCAATTTAAAATCTGTCTACTGTAATCTATCTTCATCTATTTAATCTTTATTAGCCATGATAGTCTTTAGCATTGGCACATCAAATGTTGAGTCTGCAAAAACAGAATCCCTCTCTTACTAACTCTGGCTCTAGAAGTCTGAAAATTGGGATTGATACCTATCTCTGGGCTTTTAAGATTTTGTAATTTATTGCTCAGATACCATTTACGAAGCTCTCTTCAATATTGTAATGGGTGGCTCACTGCTCTCTTGTTAACTCACCTCATTTTGACTTACTAATTATTTTTCTTCTTCTTCATTTTCATAAGAAATAAGGTTAATTACTGAAAAATCTTAGGCTTAATTTTATCTCATCTCTGTCATTACGTCTATTTAAACTTCATGATCAACACTGAATTCCTATTTCTTTCTAGTATTACTCTCAATATATCTTGGTGTAAGATGTACCTTGAAAAATGGACTGGGCTAAACAGTAAATTTACTTTGAATCTAATGGAATTCTGTCGAGTTTTAATCGAAAATAATGCCTTGAAAATTTATAAAATTGGATTAGCTTTATTATAGGTTAGGAATATCTCCTTTTCGTTGAGTTTAATCATAACTATTTGTAGATCCTGGAAATTTTTATTAGGTAAACTTTTAAGGAGTTTTAGCAAACACTTAAATTAACTCTAGATTAGGATCGAGATTCTCTTAATTTGTATTTGGATTACTTGCTATCTTTAAGTCTTATAAATCTCTATCACTATTATATATACTATTAGTTTTTCTCTGTTTTGAGTTAAAACTAAATTCTCTGACAGTTTCATCTCCGATTTCAGCATCTTATCTTGATCTCTTTTTACTGCTAGCACCTAAAATTATGAGTTTAGATAGAGTTAAGCAAATTTATTACTTGAATCCTCACCATCTGATAATTGTTAAATGAGCAGTGAATTATTCATATTTTTAAATTTATAGATGTTAATAGATAATCTAGCAGATATTATTTCTAGAATTATTAATAAACTTTAAATTGACAATAATTTACATAATTTAAATAAAAGCAAAATGAATAAAATTTCTACTGCTATACTCGTTTCATTTGCATTAGTCTGCCTTTAAGTGAATTCTACAACTGTTCTTAATGGTAAATCAAAATATCCATGAATTTATGAATGATTAGATTATCTAAACGGGCAAGGGGCTTTTAATACCACTTAGTAGCTTTAGTATTGGAAAGTAATAAACAGCACAGCTTATACGTTCAATATAAGGTAGGCATTATTTAAAACTCAGCTCATCATTCTATGAATGGAAAATAAAAGATAATGATTTTCTTATTTATTGTTATATAGATAGCCAAATACTTTGAACGGGTATCTTGAACTAAACAAATCAGACTCAGCCTAAGGATCATATGATGATGGCATTTTTTATTTCTTTGGCGATAGCTAGCCTAAGCATATATCAGTGCAGATGAAGACATCAAACCCAGACATTGAGTCATGCGATATGAGATTGACCTCTATAAATACTAGTGTCACATTTTTCTTCAATAAACAGCCTTGGCAAGATGTGGCCTTCTATAGATTTGGCTACTTCAATTATTAAAAACTTAATCTAGTTAGTATGGTATAAAAATTTACAAACGATACTTGGTATGATATTGATCTACTGATTGACTGGGATGCTTAAGCTGTGACTGTGTATGTAGATGGCATACAATTAGCAAGTGATAAATTTTTTACCAATCAAAAAACAAAAATATTATCAGCAAATGCAATTGTCCTTTATAACTTAACTCCAGCAAGTAGCTGTTAGATAAGAAAACTTAAAATATGCGATGATAGATGCTCAGGTAAGAATATTTAGTATTAAATTTCTACAGGTAAAGAATCATATCAGTTAGCATTCGCTGAAAATCTAATGCATATTTCAATGACTTTTGTGACTTTAACCTCTATATTAGTATATTTTTTAATGTGATTTATTAATATTAATTCATAATTATAAGAAAAGTAGATAAGAAATTTGTTTCATTCATTCCTATTCTCAAAAACCATTAAGTCACTTCCTAATTCCAAATTTATTAATGATCAATCTCATGAGCAGCAGCCTCCAGCACTCTGTTATTCATAACCATCTCGACCACTTGATACACAACACTCAAATCTGCCTCTTTTTAGAGTAATACTGCCATTCCTTCCTCTATTTGTATCAACACTACTTAAGTCTCTTTATATCTGTTCTAACTGAAACTAATTCAGGATCTGTTCTGCAAGTGTGTTGAATGCTTTTGATATTGATTCGTGCATAAATGCTGATACTTCAAAGAAGGATACCTAATGTTACTTTGCAAATTCAATACCTTCAAGTGTGCTCACCTGGCGCCTTGGAAGATTAGGGTCTACCTTTTACTACCTACTTCCAGGTCTGGACTAAGATGGCGTCTCCACTTTCCTCAAGTCCACATCATTTTTATTTCCAATAATCAATATCGAACAATCATGATCTGCTAGCTAGGTCACATCTTTCAACCATTTTTCTACATTTTCAAAACTTTTCCTATTTGATACATCATATACTATAACAGCTCCCTTTGCTTTTCGATAGTGGCAAGCCGTAACAGCATGATACTTCTCTTCCCCAGCAGTATCGAATATATTCAGTTTTATGGTTTCATTCCTTTTAGGGAATATCACAGTTTTCACCTAAAAATCTACTCCAATAGTGGCTTAACTATCTGCTGGTACTTATCCTTGCACATATTAGTGGATTATGTGAGTCTTGCCGACTGACTAGTCTCCAACTATAATAACTTTGAAATTTAGAGCTTTGCTTCGTTATTATTGCTTTTACATTTTCAAAAGTTTATAATTTTATATATGCCTAACTCACTTCTATTCATCAATATTTTTACAACTATTTTACTCAACGGGGTTTTGGGGTTTTGGGGTTTTGGGG